ATTTAAAAATTAAATGACATTTCATATTTTGACTTTCAACTGTTTTTACATTCAGTATTTAAGTTAAATATCGAGGCATCAAATATTAAAGCAATTTTAGAATACAAGATCCAACTTAGTTCTTACACAGCAGGAACAGCTCGCAATGTAAAAACTGCGTTTGGAGAAAATACGATTAAAGAAAAAACATTGCGCGTTTTTAGTTCAATCGCTTACGTAATGAAAACTTCGACTTTAAGAATAAACTACAAGGAAGACAAGATGAGGAATTAAAAGTAATTCTGGAAGCCGATCTTTATTAACCAAGGAGCTCGCGTCATGGTTTAAATTTAGTTTTTAACAATATTAACTCATTTGTACCAATTTTTTTACAAGTTTTTCAGGATACTAGGCATTTCGTTTTATTCCTCAGGGGTGCCAATGCATCTGCATTTTGATTTTAATAGAGGTTAATGTAGATGTCTATGTGCCATAGCATATTCTTAACAAATGTGTGCTCATTTTCTATCCTTATCCTATAAAATATAAAATACTAAAGTTAAAAAAAATCGAGAAATAAGTGTCTCACAAATTAACTGAAGTGTATAGAAAAATACGCGTTGAAGCTTGCTTAGCTTTGATGACTAGGTACAGTAATGAAGAGATTTTAGATAAAATGGTAACGCGCGATGAAAATAAATAATCTCAAGTGAAAATCACAACGATGAAACCAGGCTATAGCATACTAGAACAATGTTTCAGGCAAAGCTTACCCATAGAAAAGGAATTTGAAGAAAGGTTTGAAATTTAAAAAAAAATGACGACTGCTTGTTGGTCACTTCATGTTGCTATTCACAGTAGCTTCTTGAGATCCAGTGTTTAATTAACAGCAACTGTCAATTGTAAAGTAAGGTGGACCATGAAGTAAAGGACCATGGAAGGTCATGCTCCTTCGAAGGCCAATTATTATAATTTCGTAGTTATTGCCATTTGATGACAAACACAAACACCCATCGAACTGAGAATCGCTCGAGCGACTATTTTGGCAGTACGGTCCCTCGCTTCATTGATTTCGGGAATTGACGACGTCAAATTAAGGTGGGTGTACCATGGTTGGAAGGCCACTCTACAAATAAACAGTTATTATTCATTTATTTACTGGATAAATGAAACTAACAAATATTTAAGTAATACTTTGTTTTATTACGTAACATATAAACCACTTCTTTTTATTGTAGATTTAATCGCTATTTATTAAACTTTAGTGTTAAATGACTGATTTATTATAATGGCCTTCTAAGGAGCCTTGTTCCTAGCAAGGCCATTTGGAAGAGTTCAATGAAACTTAAATTCAATCAATATTGATTAAATATGCAATTTAAAAAAGTGGTTTATATCTGATGTAATAAAACAAAGTACTACTTAAATATTTGTTAGTTTCATTTATCCAGTAAATAAACGAATTATGACGTTATACGAATTTTAACCTTATTTCGAACAATGGCAAAATTCTCAGAAAAATAACCCCGACTCGTCAAACGTTTTGCGCCATCATCCTTTCATGATAACACAGATCCTCACTGTTTATCAAACCATTTTAACATTCAAGATCTGCAGATATAAAATATACGTCGTCAGATCAATTTCCGAAGAGCCGTGGTAGCTCAGTGGTTAACGCTCGCTGTAAATATAACAGAACGCGAGTAACCCGGGTTCGATCCCCGCCGGCACCAATGAAATTGTTAATTGCAATTTTAAGTGCTGATTTACCACGTGCTCGGCGGTGAAGGAACGAACAGCTTAATAACAACATTTGTTTTATGTTAATTACGTAAATAAAAATTTAAATAACGGGCATACATAATTATCTCGTTTAAGACTCTTATTCAAAGTGCAATGTTTATTTTCTTATCAAAAATTAGAATATAAAAAAATAAACAATTTTTTTTAATATTCTAATTAAAGAGGTAACAGAGGTTTTGTTATAGAATAAGGGTGACACACAAGCACATAGTCCACCTGATGATTAGTAGTTGCTGTAGTCCATAGACGTCTACATCTATCTTCGATTGCGAATCAAATCATTTGAAAACTGTGAGATTCAAGGTAGTAATAGAATGCGAGGCATTTCAACTTAGGCCACTGGGGTGATAACTGATGTGGTCTTATTTCATACACGGATGAATAATAAAATGGACATAGGTGAAATACATTTCAACGGTATTTCAAGGTAACATGGTCCTTTATTAAAAAAAACCTGAAATCTCCAATATTTTAAACGTTAAAAACAAACATAAAATGTTAATAGTATATTATATATTAACTTGGCATTTGTTCTTGAATACCCAAACCGGCAATGAGCTGCATTGTCTGGTACCTACTACAATCGTCAGTCCCCTTGCTAAGCATGAGCATTAAGGCAAATCGTCTCTACTACCGAAATATCTGATGAAGAAAAAGAAACACAAAGACAAACAAATATGCTATTTTTTTAACCTAAATACAATTCGTTCTGCAATTTGCACATGGAAAAAATAGCCTTAGTTATATTTGATTCGATTTATATTTTGAAATACAAATTCAGCAAACAAGCAACTTTTGTTGAACATGTGTCACTTGTAGCTTTAATGAATCTAAGGTCCGTATTTATAAACATTCTTCAACGACGATCTAAGGTAAGTGTTTGAAACGCCTTCATTACAATAGCAGAATCCAAATATACAATATCATTGCAAATTAATGAAAAAAAGTATTCAGTTTTCAGTATTTCACAGTAGTCAACAGTATTAAGTATTTCAGTTACCAAAATTATCTCCTTAAAACAAAGAAAGTACTCTGTGACTTTAGGGCTTGATCCGGTGAGCAATTATTAAATAAAATTAATCAAATCAGTTTCAGTTAATTAAATAACACTAAGTAAATGACTCACTATTTACTGGTTAACATAGCATGTACCAATATAAAGTTATTTTAGTTTATGAAACAAAACAAAATCAACAATTTAACAATAATACAGAAAAATTATTTCATTCATTATTTATATCAATGGTGAGCACAGTCTTCTTAATTTTAGATACAGAGGCTTTGTTAATATCGAGTACAGTAGAATATGCCTCATAAACTTTGTCAAGACGTGATATTGCGTAGTGTGACTTAAGGTTTGTACTGCAGTGACTGGTATAGTGACTAGACGAGGAAATATTTTTGGATCTTAAATACAATTTTGGACAGTAATTCAGGACAGTTTAAGTTTCCCATAGTTAATTCTTGCAGGAAAACAAGGCAAGCATCTTTCTGCTAGTCTTAAGGGTTGACATCTTGAAGTTTACAAGCCTTTTTTATATTAATTCAGTATTATACACATGTTACAGCTGAAAGCTATATTTAAAAAATATTTTTGTATCCTTTTGATACAATCAATGTGATTTTTGTAAGTCGGGTGTCCTAAATATACTACAATATTCAAAGTGACTCCTGACTAAAGAGTTGAAAAGTATTTTCTTAGTTACTGTTCTTTTAAAGTTTTTGGATTCTCTTAATACAAAACCTTCTGCGATGTTTTAGAAACTAAAAGATTAACGGGTATAGTTTACAAAATTATGTTTACGACCTATTATGACACCCAAGTCATGAATGTGGTTTACTTCCTCTAGTGCCTCATTATTAAGAGTGTACTGTGTATTGTAAATGCTTTTGTTTTTTGTTAACTTTATGTGATTACACATACATACACACCATTTGCTCAATCTTCTGAAATCCTCCTGAAGGGAGGGCGAATCACCCAAACTACAAATTTCCTTGGTGGCTTTGAGATCAGCAGCAAACATGTAAATGTCGAAATTGTGTCAATGTCATTAATGAAAATTATAAAAAATGGTATCACTAGGTCCAAGACGCGGTTGCTTAATTGAGTATATGATTATGTTTTAAATTGTCAAATTGAATAAATTCCCAAAGTTGCTGCTGAATTCCAGAGCCTATAAACTGAGGTGTTGTAATTAAGTTACTAGACTCATCAATTCAGTTGATGGAATTAATAGTAAATTCAACAAAATATCCCAATATAATATATTTTATTGGAGGAGGTAGATACACTGAACACAAACAAGTTTTAAATTTCTTTGCTAGATGATAAGTGTAGCTTAATCCACAAATTGTCACATAAACTCTCGAAGTTAGACAACCTAGTGTGTTTATATTTGTTTGAGACTGCTAACAAAACACCACCACCATCATCATTCTTGTTGAGTTTGTTAATAGACCGGTCGCGTCTATAAAGAGTATAACGTCCATCAATTATCTCCGAGTCGAAGATGCTGTTCTCAAGCCAAGTTTTTGTAAAAATTATAATGTCATAGTCACTAATAGCCTAGTAATTTTACAATAAATATATATGGGCTTGGTTCGCATACCTCTAATATTAGGTAGTATATATGAAGAGATAATGAATCTTAACAGGTTTTTCTTTTTTATATAGCATTGGGTGACAAACAAGCACAGATTCTATCTGATGGTATGGATGCTGTGGTCCATACACATCCACATTTATCCTCAATTGAGGATCAACATACAAAACACCAATTATAAACTAAAGTTATTGTACTTATTTAATGTATCCATATTCATAATACATAAAGTATTTATATTGTGACACATCAGTTTTCCTTATGAAAATCCTGCCATTATGAATCCATAAATATTTGTAATCTGATTCTTTGCCCTTCTTTCTTGCTGCAGCATAGAGCACTTTATTACTTAGAGAGTAGATAGATGCTCAGTTATGTAAATGCTTTCCTTTTTTGCCAGAAATTCCAAGAAGACTATTAAGATTTGCCACTTTTAGCACTTTTACTGAATTCGAATGACGCTGCTAGGAAACCATTACAAATTCTAGGGCTATTGAATTGCACAAAAGTAGATTTTGAACAATTACTAGTGGTGTTCTGCTTTGCAGCACGTGTACCTAACGTTATGAATATTACCTTCTTCAAGATCATGTGAAATAAATTTGCATATGTTCATTACTGTTGATACATGGTTTTCACTTTTGAATTCTGGCAAACATTGAATGTGAATCTGAATCTTGACGTTACAAGATCGTGAGTGTTGCTTTTATGAAGTATCTTTATGTGATCTTTCAAGGTGGTCTTAAGCTGGTCATTCTCCTTTTGAAGATCTTCAACTAAAGGTAATTTGGGTTGGATTTAGAATCGTTTGGCAGGAATTTGGGTAAGGTATTTTATTTGGTAGAGGTTTAGTCCCCGATTATAATAATACCACTCACATTAAAAGGTAATGCACTGTTATCAAAAAAATAAAAAAAACAATTATTGTAACCTAAAATGCGTAAAGTAAAATAGCAAAGAGTATAATAAGAGCCATATTTATTTATCTATGATAATAAGTATATATAGGAAAAAATAGGCAATTAGGGATGTCGATCTAAAATCGATTAATCGAAAAATCAATTCTTTGGAGTAAAATTATCGATTTTTAGATCGATTCGAAGCACCGCATCGATTCACTGAATCGATCCAAAAACCTATTGAATCGGACTGATTCATTTGATTCAAGAACTAGCTAAAATTCCCAAACTGGCTGGGGTAAGATACCACAGTTTTTTAATTTTTTGCTGTTGGGGACACAAAAACAACCGGTCGTACTTGGTTGATAATTTGAAAGCAATATATATTTGAATAAAATAAATGTTTATGACCGCTTCCAACGATATCGAAAAGTTGTCATTTCATTTTCATTTCTAAAATTCTTAAGCCCACTTTCCACTAAGGGATATAATGTAATTTAATACATCTCGAGATATAAATTAATATCGCTCACCGTACTTTTTAAATAGAACCGTTTCCACTGAGGTGTAATATATATTACATCCCAAACTATAAATATTTTTTCGATTGACCGAGCGATATTTTCATATTATATTTCACCTCCTGTGCTATAATATAATATAATATTATAGCTGTGAACCTGTTTGAACTGTGAACTCGTGAATTCACATTATTTATTATCACAAATATACATACTGTGAGCTGTAAGTACAGACAGAGTACTTTATAAATACCTAGATAGGTACTGTAAAAATATTATACCGTACGTTGAAGTTTATAGAGGTTTATAGTAAGGAAATAACCAGTATTGTGTTCGTGTAGCATTCATTTGAATATGATAAATAGTGAGTTATTAGATTGAAACAGATTAATCGAGAAATGTACGTTGCAGTTTGCACTTTTGTAACAGTATTGTAGTTGTTTTTAGCCTAAAATGTCAAATAAAAGTGTTAGGTGGAATCACTTTGTAAAAAAGGGATCTAGTGGAGTATGTGCGAACCACTCCTAACACAAGCGTTTCTAGCTTACCAGGAGTGGTTAAAAGGAATATTAGTAATGTTAATCAATAAGATTACTAATATTTTATTTAAAAAAATATTACAGTATAGAAGTTAAAGAAAAAAAATCGAAAATTCTTGAAATTTCGTGTTTGAAAATGTCGCGATTAATCGAAAATCGATCTTTTATTCCTCGATTTATCGATAATCGATTCAAGTACCTTCGATACAAATCGATTCAGAGATCGATTTATTTAAGAGTGAATCGACATGCCTAAAGTAAAAAGTATAGAAAAAGATACATTTTTTATTATTAACTGACTTAACGGCTCTGGGTTCTAGCCCTTCTGAGAAAAATTATACGATATTACTGTGAATGCTAGATAGCATAAGTACAGAATTTTGTGGCGGGAGCAAAGGCAACCACCTGACTTTATAGATATATTTTGATGTTTTGTTGAGTGCAAGAGCGAGCGAAGTGACCTCGGGACTTAGGGCACCCCGACTCAGACAGGTTAGGTAAAACACTCAGATGTAGGAGCCCCGCGAAGCGGGGCTCCATCGACTGGGCATCTCTCGACTACACTACGTGGTGCATCCCTCCCCCAACTCTCTCCCCCCATAAATCAGGCTTATAGTCAAAAACCTCAAAATTAGATTTTTAAAAATTAATAAAATAACTGAGCTTGCTCGGCAGGATGTGGAAGTGGGGGGCGACTCTATAACTCCCCCCGCCTCCCTCTCCACCACCTCCCACCCCTTTAATTCATTTTGAGTTATCATTTTGAGGTTAGTTCTATGGGATTTTCTTTTCGATTGTTCTCAAGAAAGGTGCATTACCTTTTAATGTGAGCGGTATTATTATATTCGGGGACCAAACCTCCACCAAATAAAACACCTTACTCCCCCAAATTCCTGCTAAACCATTCCAAATTTCAAGCGGAAATTTATCTTCTATATTTGTCTTGATGCCATCATACTCCGTGTTGATAAAAGTCATGGACGCTTTAATTTCCTTTATATTTTCCCTTATGGATTTCAACTCATTGTTGATATAGTTTGCTAATATCTCATTTAGGTTCGTTCGTCAGTCGTCATCTTTTAATTTCGCCGGTGAATAATTATGGTCACCTTTCTTGACGAAACAGGATTATCGCTACAGGAGTCATTAATTTTATCAATAACAGCTTCTTTTTTAGATCGGTGTGTTATGTTAGAACAATAGCCCTGTCGATTATGTGCACCAGACACTTTTTAATAAGTTATTATTACGCTCACCAAAAATCACTATTTTATATTAAAATTATTGAAATAAAATAACAGAAGTTTAGAATATTATCATCACATTTCACGGTTTAAAGTTGTTTTATACTATAGAAAGTCTTAATTTTTTTGTTGTGCGTGTTGTGCACGTATTTTTAAATACGACTAACGCGTTAAAAGCCGCGTTGGTGTCAAAATAGAGATGACATCAAATTACATAATTTTGTTTAAAACGTAATGATTTTAAACTTTTTGCTTGTTTAATAACAACGTGACTAATCTCGCGTTTTATTTTATTTATACAAAGATTGAGAAATAAATGCTTTCTCAATATTATAAACAAAATAAAGGGACCGATGGCGCGTCTCAAAATGATGGTAACTCAAAAGGATTCGGGCATCTCTCTTATAAATTTTTAGTAAACGATTACAAGAAGTCCGTAAAATATCGCAATAGTAATCTATTTTATCATTGTAATTAATTTCACTCAAAATATTTACAAACTCCTTGATTAACGCTGCCATTACGACCTCAATCCACGGAATACATGCACTCATATTTTAGCAAGTACAGGTACCTATTGTGTACTTGAGAGTAGAATTCCGTTTATTAAATAGTGCATCACTCATCTGATAACGTAAACCTAAGCCGCAACTAAAGATTAAGATCATTACTTCAAGATTGTTCCAAATTCATTTGAGCTGAGGAACGTTTAGTTAATTATAATTTTTTATTTGTAGTGTATAAACTTTTAACATTAATCAGTTAACTCAGTGGATGCTTTACAATGAAACATCTCTTGAGAATTAAAATAATTGGAAGTCAATTAAAACTTATACAAACTTAATAAGAGCGCTAACAAAGTTTCAATTGCAACACCCAAGAGCAATCTACTATTATCTGGGTTGATCAGCCTGGCCTGCTTTTGTGAACTGTATTTTCTATCATAATACGATTTTTATACTAAATTCTTTATTATCGTTTGGTACAGTGCCAGAGAAGCCTAAAACACTCTACATACTGCATTATTATAGTCAACCAAATCTAAGAAATACCATTTGACAGCTGTCAGATGTATTGCACCAAGCATACCAACTAAAAAATGGGTACGTACAATATTCGATTCTTGAAAAAATCGATATCAATTATTTAGAGTTGATGGTTTGAATAATATCAGAATAAAACAAAAACGGCTAATTTAAAACACAAGATTTATCAGTTTCTTTGTATTTGTTGTTACTGCTTATTTCAAGAGGCACAGTTATAAAAATGTGAGATTGAAACTAGATTAAAAATAAATTTATTCAATCGCTTTCAGTACAACTAGTAGAGATGTCGTTGTTTATATTAACTATTATTTGATTTTCAAAAATGCATTCAAAGCTATCCATAATAATTTGTTTTGTTTTTCTACAACGTTTCCCAAATATCTTTTGTGACGTAGGCACATGCTTCAACAAATATAGAAGAAACAGTCCAAAAAGTTAAAGCCAAGTCACAAAATAAGTAAGCTCTCGAAACAGAAACTTTTTTATTCAATATAGATTATGAATGATACCTATTGAAAGTCACTTTTTCATTTACCATTGGTTCGCAAAAAAAAACCTCTGTCCTGGGAATAACTAGCAAGAAACCCAACGGGACTAGTTTAAAAAAAATAGCTTACAATCATGCGTGTTACAATTAACAACACAAAACAAATTAGAAATAGCTTGGTAGCGATCACGTTTCCCAGTGGTTATTATCATCCATAAATTCCTTAATATTAAAATAACACTTTCTATACAAACTTAAATTAATAAAGTTTTTGAGCTTTGTGTACTTACGTCAAATTTTGTATATTTTCTGCGATTTTGTTGAAAAACGTATATGTAACGCCCCAAGAATGAATTACTGACTGTGGAGTCGAGTAACTGGTACCGAAATGGCGGGATATTTAAATTATGTAGTGGTTATCTTAGCACGACCTTGCCTATGAGATTTTTTTGCCTACACAAATTTAGTTTGCAATGTAAAAAAATAAATTTGTTTTATTCATGATTCATGTAATTTTGGGAATTTTGAAAATAAAAATTAAAATAAACAATAATACATTAAAAAATTAACGATTCGATTATTTTAATATTTTTACCGATTATTTGAATAATTTGCCGATTATTCGCATAACAATGAATTTTAATGATCCAAACACTACGGTAATATACATAGCGACATATCATTGAAATGACGTCATTGTAAAAAAAAAATTAATACTTAACCAGTATTATTTTTTAATATTTTGATTCATTTGACAAATTCAAATTTAAATTAGTGATAAAAAACTATAAACGTTGTAATGAAATATAGATAACTTCATAATTCTTCGGATTTACGTAAAAGGTTATTTTAAATCGTGTGAGTACGCTTGTGCAGGATTATTGCAGAATGATTAATGTGAAACGACAAAACGTATTTCTTAGATTTGCTTGACTATAAGTAGATATACTTACATAGAAAAAAGAATTAACTACTCGCATTGGTTCAAGAACTCACGTAGGTCGTTTGTTACTTTTCAAGTTTACTTAAATTCAATTTGA